GTTCTGCACTTTCTGACAACGTTGGCAGTTTCGACTCCGAGCAAACTTGCCTTCATGAATCTGTTACCCTGACACATTCTTCACACACCTCTGTGACACATCAAGTCAAATTTCAAAAAATATGAACACACCAACTCAACTGCCAGCCTACCCAATGTTTTTGTACCATTTAGTCTTTCATTTTGGGGGGAGGAGAGGGTAGGAGAGGTACCTACTGTAAGCCAGCAATGAGATTAATTGCTGGAGGAAAATAGAAACACATTTTTTAATTTCATAGACCTATGGGTCTCAGTCTATTTGGGGGACTACAACATGCTATGTAGCCTGATAAAGTTGTGCACATCAAGAACTAAGGCAGCAAAGACGTGTGTGTGAGCCACATTGGTAGTTATATGGGTAATATGAGTGGGCTAGAGACAATGGTGAAAGTAACAAGCATCTCAAGAAAAGAAACAGCATGTGGAAAATTTCAAAGCTGGGAAACCAGGAGAAACACAGAAATAGGAATTTCAAATACTTCAGAAACACAGGCATGAAAAGGTGACAAGTTATAAGGATTACAAAAGCACAGGCAAGATCACCAGATTAAGTTGGATTTGTGTTCTAAGGCTATGGGAACCTTACGTTTTTGAAGAATATACTCAAAGGCAGAATCTTTACCACTGGGCAGGGCTGGCTACTACTCATGCATTTTTGTCTAGGGCACTGAGCATAAAAGCTAACTGATATTGTGCAATGACTTGGCCATATTTAACCAGGACAGGCCAGGTAAGAATAGTCAGAAGAAAAAAAAATCCATTGGGGCATAATTTCAGGAGAGATGTGTTACTTTTTTTCTCGAGAAGTATGAAGCGGACTGAAAAAAAAGAAGCTTTCCATTCCTTTACTTACAGCAATAAAAGCACTTTATTGAGCACTTACTAAATGCCAAGCAATGGACCGAATATCTCCTAAATACTGATACACTTCATTCTCAGTACAGCAACAATGTAGTTATTTCATAGATAAGGAAATCAAAGCACAGAGAACTGAAAAAACCTGGTAATAGTTGGCAAAGCCATACCCAGACAAGTCTCAACCTGATAAGAAATACATTTACAACAATGCATGTCACAATAAGCACTCAACAAATGGGAGAGCAGGGGAAAATCTAAAGACCACTTTGGACCACTTCTACGCTGTAATGGACACTAGTAGAAGTCTCAGTGAACATGGAAATAAAAGGCAGTCCTAACCATTCTACTTAGAGTAGAACAATCAAGGAGACATAACCTAGGTTTGTGTTAAGTCTTCAGAAAGACTACAAATTTACTCAGAAAATATGTTCACTTGTTTCCTCCCTGATGACAAAACTACAGAGTTGTGGCAGAGGTCTCCATTTAGATAAAAAAAAGAAAAGCAAATCTGATTATCACATTTCAAAACTGACTCTGGACCATATTTCCACATTTCCAAAATAAAAACAAGGCCTGAGGTCCCTTTAAGCTCTCGTGTCTTACCTCTCGAGCTTTTTGTTTCTGTTTGCTTTTTGGAGACATGGTCTTAACACATATCCAAGGCTAGTCTAGATACTACGTAGGCAAGGCAAGTCTCAAACTTGTGCTCATACTGCCTCAACATCCTAAGTGCCGAGATTTCAGTCATGTGCCACATCAGACCTTACGAGTCCATTCCACTCATGTATTGCAAAAACTTGGAATGCTCTGATTGTATCATTATAATAGTAGCACAACTACACTATAGTCCTAATTCTACCTATATCTTCCCTCAGTAAAAGGTTAACCTATGATGAGCAGATTCTTCTGCCATGTGCTGCCTCTACAGAGCTGTTAATTTCAGAATAAATGAAAAAAAATCCAGTCAAAAGCTGAATACGACTATCTTATGGTTGTAATCCTAGCTACTCAGGAAGCTGAGAGCTGAAGATTAAGTTTCGTCAGCCCAGGCAGGAAAGTTCATGCAACTCCTATTTCCAATTATCTAGCAAAAACTTAGATTCAAGCAATAGAGTGCCAACCTTAAGCAAAGCAGCTAAGGAACAGTGCTTAGGTCTTGAATTCAAGCCCCAGTATGTACTACACACACACACACACACACACACACACACACACACACACACACACACACACACACACACACACACACACACACACACAGTGCTTAGGTCTTGAATTCAAGCCCAGTATGTACTACACACACACACACACACACACACACACACACACAGTGCTTAGGTCTTGAATTCAAGCCCAGTATGTACTACACACACACACACACACACACACAACACACACACACACACACACACACACACACACACACAGTGCTTAGGTCTTGAATTCAAGCCCCAGTATGTACTACACACACACACACACACACACACACACACACACACACACAATCTTAGGATAACCCAAATTTAAATGTTACTTCAATATATGAAGAAAAGTGGTTTTAATTCACCAGGTGTAGAAGAGAGGAGTAAGGTTTGAATTCTTACAGAACACTTCTGAAAATCTGGCAGAAGCACAGAGCTGAATGAACTTAGTCATGAAAACATACTGAGGTGGATGTGCCTCTTCAAGACATTAAGGGTTACATTGTTAAAACACTGGCCTTTCTAAAACCTAATCTTAATATCTGTGATGGATATTACAAATAAGACCTTAAGAGCTAATGCTAGGAAGCAACCACACTTGGGCAGAAATCCCCAGAAGTTAAGAGTTCCATTTTACTTTGTGGTAGGATAATTAAGTGTTCCAAAGTTTAAGATCTAGTAAATTTTCAAGTATTTTCATGTTAAGCATTTCCCATGTGTAAGTCCCAATTCAATACACACACAACACACCAGTTTTGAACTTAGACTCTACTTTGCTCTTACATAGGAAGACATTAATGATAGCAACTAGTCAAATTATTTCTGCAGATCCACTGGCAATTAGATTTATCAATCAACTGATAGTCCTAAGAAAAAACCCTTAAGGAACAAAATTTGTAGGCCTCCCATACCAACAAAGGACACAGCATTTCACTTCTTGCATCAATAACCACCACCATTCCAGCAGATCTAGAAGACAGATGATCATCTCTTTATTGTCTTTACAGCATCAAATCATATCTACCACTCCTCATTATTTTCTAAGCACAACATTCTTGTCCTTGAAAAACAAGAAAGCTTGTGGAAATAAACATAAAATAAGAAAATCAATCCAATGGAAAGTCATGAAGAATACTATATGTAGCGGAAATAGCAGAAATGTAATTAAGATAAATGCCTTTGAATATGACTGATTTGGGTCAAAACCATTACCAGATTTTCAAAGGAACAATAAAAGCAAAGGCAGACACAGAGAGAGAGGGAGAAGGAGTTTCTATAAGATCTAAAATGTGTTTTACTTTAAATTGAGTAGCCTTCCAGTATTTATCCTTTAAAATTTCTATGAATCTAGAGCTATGATTCAAACCATTGAGTCTCCAAATTCTTTTAAGGGTCTGAGAAAAAAATATGACAAAATTTGATATGCAATTTGGGGGCATTCCTGAAGCCCATTCACTGACCTTTTTGGTAGGGAACATGGGACTATTCAAATAATTACCACCATTTTTGGACATCATCTGAAAATGATTTTGAGAGCTCACCTTATGTTGCCTGATTCCTTAAATCCTCAGAGAAGCTTGTCCTAAAACCCATTTCCCATGGGATTAGTGCTTTCCCTACAACAATCAATGAGCCACATGGTCCCCTGGCACTGGGCAGCTGGCTTTCTTAGACAATTGTCATTAACAGCTAATGTCACAAAACATCTGTTCCCCAAATATTCTTAACAATTATGCCTTTATGAGAGTGAACAGTAAGGGGACAAGGCCCTATTATTGAATGCAAATGCATTGTATTAGGAACAAGGCCTAATCCCACCAATGTTGGGCAGAATGATCAATAGAACTTGACCTCTCTTGATGACCTCGCACAATCCCCAATCAGGTTCCTTTCTTAAAGGGCATCACATGATCTTATAGAATTCATCTTGAATCTGCTGATTAAAAAAGCTGGGGATAGCAAAATGACATGGAATTTGCTGTTAACCATTATCTGGGACAAATACTAATCAAGAAGGACCCAATTTATATAATACCTACCAAAGAGAGACGACAACCTCTGGTGTGCTAGTTACTGTAAAACTAATTCAAGAACTGTCAACTCAAAGCACCAAGCAATGTTATGTTCCCTGAGAAACAAATTACTATTCCTACCTCATGGTGAACTACGGAAGAGAACTGAGCAGTCAAATCAACTGATATCTTTTACACATAGTATCTCCTCAGCACAGACTCAATAAAACTGAAAGAAAACTTCAATTAATGAAAATACTAAATTTAAATAATACAACCAGCTTCATAATCTTTGATTCGAGAATTCATTAACAGCATGTGTAAAATCAACTGTCTCAAAAAAATAAACCACAAACAAAAGCAAACTGAATCCTGCTTTAATTGACACTTATGGAGTATAAAGTCTACTGAAATATTAAGAGAATCTTTTGGAAAACAGGGATCATAATAACCCTTGTGGAGAAGAGAATGACAAAGTCAGAGCTCACCAAGGCCTTTCTGTTTCAAATTCTCAGAGTATTCCAGGCATATTCAGTGTGTATCTCATTTTTTTCCAATTCTGATTTCATTAAAAGACAAAAGGGGCTTTATTATTTTAAATTATCTCAGCCTCAAGAAATTTAAAGACTAATTAGCTGAATATTTAAAACTTAAATAACTTTAACAAAACAGCCATTTGACTGTAAAGCTACTTTGCTAGTAAACAGGAAATAAGTTGAACTCTCCTGGATATAACTTCATTAAGGCTTCAAACCATCCAGGAAAGAGTAGCACAATTATGCCATATTATAATCTAAGTTTAGAAAAAGTATACTATCCAAATTAATAAAAGTCTGGGCCCATAGATAGCTTATTTCCAAAAGGTCCTTCCCCCAAAAGACCATGTTTCCACTCTTTGTTCCCTTTTCCACGTCAAAAATACCAACATTTCTTCTTCAGGAAGAATGGACAATCCAAGATTGTAGAAGGGGCCTAAAGAAGAAAATGCGAAAGGTCCTAAAGCAGGAAAAAAAAAAAAAATAGCTGGTAGGGAAGACAAGTATGAGTTGTTTCTAATTCATTCTAAAACCCAAGACTTACATTTACCAGTCTTTTTCTCTAAAGTCATCTAGCTATTGGAGAGAAGAGCATGGACATAAAGTCTGTGGAGGAAAAGGAATTGACAAACTGCCAAGGAGAGAAGAGGTAGAGGTTTGGTGGTTAATGAACAAGTGCTTGTCCAGACAGTTCCTCTTCTTAATGCAATCAACCAATGTAGATGCGATGGAAATCATTGGCACCAAAAGCTGCATTACACTTGGGACATTTGCGCTGGCGAGTGTCATAGCGCGTCTTCACACACTCAAAGCAGAAAACATGAAAACACTTGGTAAGTACAGCATCCTTTTTACGCATATTGCAGCAAGGGCAGGTCAGACGGGCCTAAAAAAGGAAGAAGCAACCATAAAGGTTATAGGCCAAATGGACAGCTCATGAAAACCAACATAACCACAAGCACTAGGAAAAAAGTATCATTTCCACCCACTAAAATAAACCATTCTCTGGCTACTTTTAGACAGAGTTCAATGTTTACTCTCCCAGTCTGTCAGTAGACAATTTCAGGCCTAGCAAGCAACACAAAGAAAGCAATAAGACAGGCTTTCTGACCTTGTAATCCTTAATCTCCTCCATTAGAATCTCATCACATTTGGGTACGTTGTCTGGCTTCTTTGTGGTTTCCAGCTTCCTTCGAAGTCTAGAGATGTCCTCCTATGGCAGCATAGCAGACCTGTTAGACATCCTCCCCCAGACCTGCCATTTGAGAAATCATCCCTCTAACTTGGAGTCTCTCGTGGAAAGAAAGACCCTTCGGTCCTTCATGCCCAATTATCTTTAGGAACATAGAGAATTGCAAATGACAGGATGTTTTCAGAACAGGCAATCATGATCATATCCTCAAATCAGAAGTACAGCAGTTAATTCAGTCTTGTGAATATAGGGGACAGGCCACTTCATCCTGTGGTGACTAGTTTTAAGGTCACTGGGATTAAAATAATGTACCGATTTATGGACAGGGTTAGAAAGGCATCGTGATGATGACAAAAAGGGCCTTTTAGGAGTTACTTGAAACCTAATGTTTTTATGTTACTAATTTAATGTCAAAAATACTAATTTAATGTCAAAAATACTAATTTAATGTCAAAAAATATTTATGTAATGCCAACTAGGCAGCAGGCACCATGACAGGCTATGGGGATGTGGCACTGAAAAGAACTTGGCCTCTTGCCACCGGGAACATCCAGTCCAGTAGTTTATAACATGCATTACTTATCACCAGGGTCACTTTAGACTGCTGGTGAAACGTAAAACAAGACAATTGCTCTCACCTGGGCTCGTTTGAAATTGAACATATCCTTTTCTTTGGTGACACTATTCTCTACAATCTCATCCTGAAAATCATGAAGCTTCTTCTGAGCCAACTCTAATTGTGCTTTCAAATCATCAGCAAGCTGGGCTGCTTCCATTGCCTACATGGGATGTACAAATAACGTCATCCAACACCCTTTCATCAACAACAAAAATGTTAACCTAAGTTCAAGGAATAATGTGAACTTCAAAATTTCATTCGTGTTATCGTTCTTTGCTTTGTGACTCCTTTGAGACTAATCAACATTTTATATTACAGAGTAATCCATCGTACCTTGCGCTTGTTCATCTCCAAGGCTTGGGTCCTAAGACCCAGCTCCTTCTCCCCTGTGCCGATGTTGCTCTGCAGCAGGTGCTCTTTCTCTTCCAACTTTCTTACTACCTGTAACTGCGCATCCACCTTTGTAGGAAGAAATCAGATTTTAAAACAAATAGGAAGACAAAATAAAATTGGCTATGTTTTGTTAATTCACACACACATACACACACACACACAAATATACAATGCTAGAAAATCTCAACAATTATTACTGATTTTATCCATAAACCCTTCAAAATACTGCAAGACTGATTATTAAAGGCTTTGCTTATCACATAAACTATTGATAGGGATTTAAGGAGTCTGGGAAACCACTGAGAAAATTCTTTTCCAAATTGCCAGGAATAGAGGAGATTTCACATACAGATATTTATCTTCTACAGCTGTGCTAACCCTCACACTCTGGCAACTCCTTCTAAGGCATGCAAATTCTGGCTCAAAGTCCAAGTGTTTCTCTTTCAGAATGGCTAGAGGAACAAGTGGTCTTTTCCTTAAAAATGAATGCACAAAGTTAATGTTAAATGGTAAAAAGTGGAAAGCATACACCTTCTAACCCCTCACCTAAGATTCTCATCCCAACATCCAAAGGCAACCAGGTAGCTGCTTTTAGTTTCCCTGTAGCTTTCCAGAAATTTTAAGAATGAACTCCCTTCACACACACTCATCACACTCATTTTAACGCAAGAGGAATAACAAATCATTTGATATATTTTAGACATTTTTTGGGGGGGGGGGATCTGGGCGCTGGGCCTGGGCGCTGTCCCTCAGCTCTTCAGCTCAAGGCTAGCACTCTACCACTTGAGCCACAGCGCCACTTCCGGCTTCTTTTATTTTTGCTTATGTGGTGCTGGGGAATCGAACCCAGAGCCTCAGGCATGCAAGGCAAGCGCTCTACCACTGAGCCACCTTCCCAGCCCTAGACATTTTTTTTCTACAACAGCAAATCTATTTTTTTTTCCCCAGACTTGAGGCTTGAACTCTGGGCCTGGGGGCTGGCAGTCCCTGAGCTCCTTTTGTTCAAGGCTAGTACTCTACCACTTGAGTCACAGTGTCCCTTCTGGCTTTTTCTGTGATTTAATTGGAAATAAAAGTCTCACATACTTTCCTGCACAGGCTAGCTTTGAACTAGCCTCCCCAGTAGCTAGGATTACAAGCGTGAACCACAGATACCTGATTCCATAGATGTTTTTAACAACTACATGGTATTCCTTTGCAAAAATGAGTAATCATTTACTAGAATCCTGATAATAGATATTTAGTTTGCAGGGGCTTTTTTCCTATCACACACAAAAAAGAAAAAAAGCCACAATGATTACCCTGGCAGTTATCTTAATGTAGAGAACACTCTATTCCAAAAGACTTGGAAAGCTCTACTCATGATAATTACCTGAGTCTTTAGAGTCAAAACCTGGTCTGCAAGCTCCTCCTTCTCTTCTTTAAGCAATTTATGGATCTGATTGGATTTGATGCGTTCTGACATGAGCTTGAAATTGGCATCATCCTTCTCCCGCAACTGCTGCATCAGGCGAATATTTTGCTCCTGCATGTCTTCAAAAGCCTGGCCAGTGACATCCATCTCGGAGAGGAGAGCTTCTTCCTCCTAAAATGAAGAATTCTATTAGCAGAATCTTCTAACTCCAAAGAATGAGCATAGGAAACTAAACCATCCCATTGCTCATTTAGTAAATTAATTCAAGGATCAACAAAAACTAGTTCAAGCATTGGGTCATTGGGTTCTCTGAGAATATAGAAGTCCTACTACTTGACATCAGCTGTTCTGATAATCCTCAGCTGATCTGTACTTTTAACATAGCAATCTGATCAGTAGCAGTTGGTTAAGAGTATTTCTATCATAATGTCTCACATTTTCTCATATTTATCCACAATTATACTGAAGTTAACTTATGCTTTCCAGAAGTTGCAAATATCATAAGTTTCCTAACAATCTAGCAAACGGTATCTAATAATAGCTTTAATTACATTTATCACATTACAAGTAAGATGCATTATCTATATATTCAAGAATGATCTGAGTTATTTTCTGTGAACTTTCCATATATTTATCTACACTTTTACTGGATTTGGGGCTTATCCATTTCCAGATTAGTTTAAATTTACTAGAAATTTAAACTCATAATAACAGTAATTTTTTCCTTTTTATCATGTAATCTGTCAGTTTTGCAGTTATTTTTGCGTGTAGAAGCTGTCTATCTTCTTTTTTTAAAAAAGCAACTTAAAATCCATCTTCCTTTTATACTTTACTTATTAATAGAAAGGTCTTTTCCAGTTCAGATTTTGAACTCAGGCCTTAAGCTTACTGGGCAAGTACTTTACTTCTGAGCCATACCTCTAGGCCTTTTTTGGTGCTGGTTGTTTTGCAGATAGGGCTTTTGTCCCTCCTTGGCATATATCTGGGCCGAGATCTCCTATTTTAGGTTTCCCATTGTAGCTAGGATAACAGGTGTGCTGCGCTACCACGTCCAGCTCTCCATTTGAGAAGGAGTCTTTTTGTGCCCCAGTTGGCCAGTCTAGAACCATGATCCCCAATCCTCACCTTCCAAGCTGCTAATATTACAAGCATGAGGCATTGGCACCCAATGGACTTCTGTTTTTAGCATCATGTCTATGATCATTTGGAAATCATTCTGGTATAATGTTCAAGTGTGTATCCTACTTCTGCTCCCCTTTTTAAAATTTCTGTCCCATCACATTCAGCAGTCTTATTTCACCACTGCTTTAAAAATCACATCCTTAGTGAATATCAAACACCCATTGTACTTGAGGCTATGTCCGGTTGTTTGACTCAGTATAATAGTCTGCCCAATAGTCTCAAGCTTTTTTATCTACTGGAATTTTGTTCTAATGTCTACAGAAGATCCCACTGCTGTTCTTTTCTAGTGATTCTTTATCACTCTTGTTTACTTTACCTTGTGTATTTTAACATTAGTTTGTTTACAACCAAAAAACAAATAGTACTTTTATTGGAGGAATCATAGTAAATTTACATATACATTTTGAAGCTACTGATTAAAAGCCAGGCATGATGGTGCACGCCTGTAAGCCCAATACAACCAATCTGAGCTAAATAGTAAGATGCTTGTCTTTTTTTAAAAAAATGAAAAAAGTCCTATATAAGTTATCATGAGTCTTTCTGTGTACTCACTCCTTCAAAGACCTATGACAGTACAATTTCCAAACAAATATTTTAAGAATGAAAGAAGAGTAGCAAATCACCATATTTAAGAAAAAAATTAAACCAGGCACTGGTGGCTTGTGCCTATAATCCTAATAACCCAAAAAGCAGACATTGGAAGGATTACAATCCTATTGAGAGGATTACATTTTTTTGTCTGCAGCTTGGGCAAAAAGTACATGAGATCTCATTTCAACCAATAGCTAGACACAGTGCCTATTACTTCAGATACAGTGGGAAACATAAATAGGATAACCACAATCAAGGCTGGCTAGGCAAAAGTGAGATCCTACCTCAAAAATAAGCAGAGAAAAAAATGACTGGAGGCATGGTTCAAAAAGTAAAGTGCTGCCTACCAAGCATGAAGTCCTAAGTACCTGAAGTCCCCAGTACCAAAAAAAAAAAAAAATTGAACAGCTAAAATTTTCCTTTTAACTATAGGGATGTACAGAGGATCTAACCAAAGTTCTCTCTTTCAAAATAAATAATGATAGTTACCCTTAAAGTTGCTTCCTGAGAAACAGTGAAGTGTTCCTAACATTGAACAAGTATGGACAGTTCTAACCATTCTGCTATCTTTATGTTTTTTATTTAGTTTTATTTATTTTGAGACTGGATCCTGCTATGTAGATCAGTCTGGCCTCAAACTTATGATCCTCCCACCTATGTTTCCCAAGTGAAGGGATTGCAATATCTGTCAGGAAAATTCACTGGGACTAGAAACTAAAGATATATTCATTATAAGAAGGAAAATAGTCTCTGCAGTTCTAAGATCCAGTACTATTTATAACTTATGTGGGAAGCAGTATTTGTATAAAATCCTTTATCTTTTTCTTATGAGTTGTATGCTAGCAGAGAAAGAACAGATTCTCAATAAGCAATGTCTGAACAACTGGCTATCCAAATATATAAACAATGGAAAGGTCTAAGATTTTAATTTAAAAAGAAAAGTGGGAGTCTAGGAGAGGAGCAAACTTAACTGTCACTTCCATACTTGTTATATAACATTTAGTTAAAGAGACAAAGTCTGCCCACCTGCTTGGCCATGGCCAGCTTCTTCTGCAGGTATTCTATCTGCTCCTCCACAGCCCGGATCTTCCTCAAGGCATCTTCATCAGCCATTTTCTTATTCTCTTTCTTTTCCTTATCCTCAAGTTCCTTGAGTCTTTGCCTTAGATCCTCCAACTATCGGTGGAAAAGAATCACATTAGAATAAAAATTACAATAAATTTTCAAAAATCAATTAATATGAGCCTGGCTCCTGTGGTACATGAACCTATAATCCTAGCTATTCAGGATGTTGTCATCTGAGGATCAAGGTTCAAAGTCAGCCTGAGCAGAAAATCCATGAGACTCTCATCTCCGATTAACCAATAAAAAGCACAAAGTGGAGATATGGCTCAACAGGAACAGTGCCAGCCAACAGCAGAAAAGCTGAGCAGAAAGTCCCAGCACCAGCATGCACATATGCACGCATGCACACACACAAATCAATACTGTGCAGAGAGGAAGAGAGGACCTTAAGCTCAAAGTAATATTTACAGAAATTATGGATCAAGCTAAATATTACAATAATTACAGATGATACAGTACACATTTCAACACTGTTTTTAACATCACTCTATTCCTAGTTCTCATGCTTCTATAATCATAATTCTGGACCTATTCCCTTTTCTTTAGAATAGGTTTCAGCTTTTCTTGCCCTCAGAAAAGTTGAAAGTTTTTAAGTGTAAAACATTCCTCCTAAAAAGCATCAGAGAACGAGAACCACTATAGCAATGATTTATGACTAAGAAGTTTTTTAAATCCTATACTCAGTAATTTTGATGCTTTAGTACTTTGTGGAGAATCTTAACATTTACACATAGCCTTCAAGAAGGATAGAAAATGTTACTCAATTTTAACACTAATTTTAAAGGACTGTATCTTTAAGCAGTATGAAGTTAAACCTCACAAGGTTTAAACCTCACAAGTAATGGCAGACTAGATAGATTACCTCTGCCTTAGACTTCTTTTCCGCTGCCATTAGCTGCACTTTGTCTCTCTGCTCCTTTGGTGCCGAGCGGTACATATCTAGCAGTAGTTTCATCTCCTTCTGGCTCTCTTGTGCCTTTCTATGAAAGAGTAGCAGAGAGAGGGAGTGCGAAATGAGAAAACAAAAGGCATCAAACAAGGAAACTGTTCACTGCACAGACTATTTTAAATTTTTAAAAAATATTCTGTTATAAAGACAAAATTCTTCACCGTCAATAGATTTCTCAAATGTATTTGGAGATTACAGAAAAGTAAGCTAAGTGAAATCATCTCTAACATAGTGTATTATTACACAGGTAATAATAAATAAATAAAACATAAATAAATAAATAATAATAAAACAGTCCTACTCATAAAAAGTGAGATTTAGTAGGTATACAGAGAAATATTTAAACATTGCCAATGACTCTGATTCCACACCTCAATTTCTCAAAGAGATCAAGAAAGACAAAGAGAGGTGGATTTGGAAGTTTACAATACACTGCTAATCCTAGACCTGACAGCTGAATAACTCATGATCAGCTGAAGAGTAATGCTTCACCTGCTACTACATTATTAAACCTCTTAAAACATTTGAGCTCAAATATTTTAGCCAGTGTTCTCTTATAAATCCAAACATCAAGAGTCAACTATGAAAAATGGGGAGTCACAGTAAACAGTATTATGAGAGAAATCATTGTTCTAAAAAGAAAGGCAAGGCATGAGGTAACAACAAAGGTATTTGTTTGAATTTCTACAGGACTAATGCTCCTGAGAAATCTTAATATGATCTGGCATACTTACAAACTAGTCAACTGTCAAGCGATTGGATCAGATACTGTTCAAGTTACACTGACACACACTCCACTTAGTATACTTTAACATATAACTAATACCAGCAATTTGCCCAGATCCAATAAAGGACATTAGTTAATTTCCCATGATTTTCAGTAAATACAATGTACCTTCTTTTAATTTGAATTCCCAGAGAATAAGGGCACAGCCATGAACTTTTTGAAAACTACTCAACTAGACAACATACATGAAGGCCAACCATTTGGCTAAGTTTTGACTAAACATCTGATCGGGTAGAAACTACATTAATTGTACATTTATACAATTGATATTGACCTATTATAATGATCAGATGAGCCAGCCCACCAACTATCTTATTTCATTCATGATACCTAAGTTTTAAGCTTCCAGTCAGAAACAATCACTCAAAATAATACTCTTACTTGAGTTCAATCTTCAGTTGTTTGATAATTTCTGCTTCCTTTTTCCTGATATCATCATGTTTCCCTTTCTCTTTATCCTTAGCAGAATCTCTCTCTTTTTCTGACTCTTTTAGTTTCTGCTTCTCTCGTTCTCTTTCCTTTTCCTTCTCTCGTTCTCTTTCTCTCTCCCTTTCTTTCTCCCGCCTTTCTCGCTCCCGCTCCTCTTCATCCCGTTTGGACTTAATTTCACTGACATCTTCCTGAGATGCCTTCAGTGTTGATGACTGGCTGGATACATCCTCAGAGTCTTGTTTCAGCTCTGTAGGTTCATCCTTAGGGTCCTCAGTACTAGACTGAGACTGCAGAAGGGCACTGCCACTGCGCAGACGTGTCTAGGAGAAAGAAGGAAAGATGGACATCACTTTGGAGAACTGCACTGCTTCCCTCACTTAAAAACAGTTTCACAGACTTAAAAACAAATGATGCTTGTTCTACTGGTCCTGATTACCTTGTTTAGGTCTGACTGAGCTTCTCTCAGTTTTCGCTTATACCTTAGGACTTCCCCTTTCAGCTGGTGATTGTGATTCTGGAGGCTACTGATGAGGTGGCGCATCTCCCGGTTTATAGGACCTTAAATACAGCAACAGAAAGGTTAAAAAGGAACAGGGCAAAGACAAAAAGAGAGAAGGTACAAAACACATGAGGAACTTTGGAAAATCAGGGGGAGTTACCAGAAGAAATATTCTTCTCAGAAGATGAGCATTTAAAAGTGGTCAACTTGATCTAAAAAACAAACACCTGGGCTGTGGGCCAAAATGAATTACAAGACTCTATTTATGGGACTTTGAGCCTTATGACAAATCCTGGGAATCATGTTGCACCGTGGAGGGAAAGCATTTACAGCAAACTGCAGGGTGGATGAGGATAATTATACCTGCTTGTTCATTGGCAGCAAGAGTCTGCTCAAATTCTATCCTCAGCATTTCATACTCTTTGCGCACCTGAGCCAACGTATCTTCTAGCTGGATCACTTCAGTTCTCAGCTTCTTATGAAGACTAACCTCATCTCGCTACAAACAGAAAGGGGAACCCATAAAATATTCTTGTCAAAATGCAGAAATATCATCATATTCTATCTGAAATACAAGAACACACAGGGACACACACATACATGCACGCCAACAACAACAACAACAACAGAATCAAAGTAAAGCTATTACCTCAATGAGCTCAACCTGGCGCTGGTGGGTTCCCCGTGTGCCATGAAGTAGGGTCCGAGCCTCATCCAGGTGTGCTTTCAACTGAAGACTCTCATTGTACAGAACAGAAAACTGTGATTGCATGCAGCGGTACTCTGGAGTTTCTTTAACCACTTCTTCCACTGCACTCCGTAATTCCACCTTAGGAAGGCCCAAAGTAAAAGCCAAATTGGAAGCAAAATCTAGACATACAGTAAATAAAATCTTGAACACACAATGTCCTGCATACTTGAAACAATGATTGCAAAGATTATCACACTTACATACCCCCACCCCCACCATTCCTCTATGTAAAATCTACCTCCAATTAAGACTTCCCAGAACTAATTTTTAAGTATTTCATAGTTTCAACCAAGGGCCAAAGATACTAAAAGGACAGCTAAGAGAGACCTCTGTCACTAATTTCTCTTTATTAAGAATCACTTCTGACACAATAGCACAAAAAGCTATGTTTGTCCTAAGCAACTGTCTGCTTTAACTGCTCAAACACTTTACCTGATTAACTTAGGTTGTTTTTGGTTTTTAAGTTCATACATTCTTATTCCTATTTATTTACCTAGGAACAAATTAAGAAAGACAGGTGTCTCATACCTTTAACTTCTCATTCTGTGTAGTGACCTCCTCAAAGTCTTGCCGGAGTTTCTCCAACTCACAGTGACGGTTCTGAGCCAACTCTTTGTTCTCCTCAAGCTCTGCATTCATTTCTTCAAACTGGAAGGGAAGAAACAGCAAATGAGAAGAAAGAAAAACAAAATCCTTAAATCATTCCAATTTCTAAGTTTCCCATATGCACTGGATACTCTTCTAGTAAACCCCATGTTATCACTGGTGAATCAATACAAGCCTGACATCAGTCAAACATCTGTCCTGAGTAAGTCCCTAACTTTACCTTCCGGGCATTGATAGTGATTGTGCCACCATAGAGACTGCTCCCCGCTCCATACACCTTATATCCTTTAGAATTCACCTACAAAGAAGACAAAGAATTCTTTAGTGAGAGACCTCAGGATTTAGAGTCTGATGATGTACTTTCAAAGGATCAGTTTTTAAACCCAAACACCACTTTGCAAGTGGACCTTCTCTGCAAAGATTTCTTAACATGATTTTAGTCTCCAGGCTATAATGAAACAGCACTGACCCGTTCTAGGACTTCCGCTAAGTGTCGGTTGAGTCGCTGTTCCCTCTTTCGAATTTTGTCAATATCCCACTGCAGATCATCAATCAATGACTCCAGGACAGACACTCGTGACTCAGCTGTCTCCACTTTACTTTGCAGCTTAGAGAACTACATCCCATAACAAAATAAGACTGAGTTAAAAAAGAAATGCCTTATTTCACTTGCCTAAGTTACAAAGCCCACGACATTAACCCTTGTTTGTGTGTTAGATTATTCAACATGAGTGTAAAATAAAAACAACAGATTCAGTTCAACATTTTTTTTTTGGTAGGTTGTGGGGCTTAAACTCTGGGCCTGGATGCTGTTCCTCAGCTCTTCAGCTCCTGGCTAACGTTCTACCATTTGAGCCACAGGGCCACTTCCAGTTTTCTGGGGTTTATTGGAGGTAAGAGTCTCATGGATTTTCCTGCCCAGGCTGGCTTTGATCTTCAGATCTCAGCCTCCTTAGAAGCTAGGATTACAAATGTGAGTCACCAGTGTCCAGTGATTTCAATACTTTTAAGTCAGTTATAATTACGAAAACTATAGAAGTCTTTGTGCTCTGAACTCAGAGCCTTAAGCCCTCACTTGGCTTTTTTGCTCAAGGCTGGTACCCTACCAACTGAGGCACACCTCCACTTCCAGCTTTTTGCTTGTTAACTGGAGATAAGAATCTCACAGGCTTTTCTGTCAAGGCTAGCTAGTTTTGATGCTCAATCCTCAGATCTTAGCACCATGAATAGTCTGGATGAGCCACCAGGATCCAGTGATACTAAAAAAATTTTCTACTGAAAAGTACCATTTCCCTAGATCGATCACCCATTTCATTGGAAAAAATCACTATTTAAAAGAATAACCTTCGGAGCTGGGAAGTTGGCTCAGTGGTAGAGCACTTGCCTTGCATGCCTGAGGCCCTGGGTTCGATTCCTCAGCACCACATAAGCAAAAAGAAAAAAGCCAGAAGTGGTGCTGTGGCTCAAGTGGCAGAGACTAGCCTTGAGCTGAAGAGCTGAGGGACAGCGCCCAGGCCCAGAGTTCAGGCCCCACAACCAGACCCAAAAATAAATAAATAAAAATTTAAAAAAAAGAATAACCTTCATGTCACAGAACATTTTAGAAAATAAAAAGATAATTATCTTTTCTCCCCACTTTCTTACCCAGAACAATGTAGAATTAGGTATTCTAAAGACACTTTGTTATCCTCTTTATTTAGAAACTATAAAACAGCCAGTGCTATTTAGTATTTTTAATTACAAAACTGTTCACATCAACCTTAATAAATGTTTGGTTTGCAAACATGTCCTCTAAATCCTCTGACAATCCTCCCATCAAGAGGCAGGAACTAGGGAAAAGAATTGTGGTACACTCCTGTAATCCAAGCTATGTAAGAGTAGGAAATGAAAGGAGTTTGGTCTGAGACCAGCCTAGCCAAGCATCCAGTGATATCCATCTTACCAGTCCATTGAAGCACTCAGAATCAATCTGAGTCAATGTCTGCCAGGGCCATTCGAATACCCACCCCTCCATTCTGGCCAAGTACCTCCTGAGACATGGTGCGGTGCTTCTCCTGGAGCAAGTCTGTCAGTTCCTGCAGCCTCATGTTCTCTTGCGCAAGGAAGGAGTTCAATTCTTGCACTGCTTCTTCCACTATCAGGTTATCTGAGGAAGAAGAACTGCATTTTAATTTAGTATCTATCATGCCAGATCTTAAAACCATGCATCCCATCACTGACATCCTACCTCTCTTCATTTTCCTCAGAACTTCAAGCAGTAGGCTACTTCTATTACTCCCTGAGACAGACAAAATACCCAGAGACTAGGTACTAGGTATGGAACCTAGCTATGGGTGCTCTTGAAGCTCAAAAAACAAAACATACACCACCACTTACAAAAGAAGTAGGTAAGTCTAGAATTTATTACATCAAGCTTATATGTTTAAAATTAAGTAACAATCTCTATAGTTCCAATATAAATGTCACTAAAAAAAAAGGATAGGGACCAACATACGTCACCTCTTTCATATCACAAACTGTCACCGTTTGTAGAAGTAATATAAAATATGTTGGTGGCGTGGTGTATTTCCATGGTTTTTTGTGCACCAGATTTTTTTGGCTTTTGTGTGTATGTGTGTGCCGATCCTTGGGCTTGGGCCTGGGTGTTGTCCTTGAACTCTATTGCTCAAGGCTAGCACTGTGCCACTTGAGCCAGAGTTAAACTTCCAATCTTTGGTGGTTAACTGGAGAAGAGAGTCTCAAGGGACTTTTGCCCAAGCTTACTTAGAACTGCAATCCTCAGATCTCAGCCTCCTGAGGAGCTAGAATTACAGGTGTGAGCCACCAGTGCCCAGCTTACTTGTGGAACTTTTAAAATAGGCAATTCTGTGAAATCCACTTACATAATAATAATCTCCATGGGTAAGGCCTAAAAGTTCTTCTCTTCTTAGTGTTGGAGATTGAATTCAAGACCTTGTATGTGCTACATTCTACTACTGATCCCCAATCTCCAAAAAGATGGGTTTTAAGTCTTTCCCACTGCTTCCAGTCTCTGTCTCACCTCCACTGTTTAGCTTCCGGGACAAAAGCTCCACTTTTTCTTGTAACTTATCATACACATTCACAATCTGGGACACAGCTCGGCGGGAGGACTCCACACGCTCCTGCAGCTGAGACTCCATCTCTTCACTGGAACTGCTGGCCAAAGTAGCAAGGAAAGAGAAAGCTGGTTCTTGCCCTTCCCCTGAGGAAATACAGAGAAAACCTCAAAATTATACACCTAGAAATACCAAAACATACTTTTTTTTTTCCCCTTTAAAGGGAGAGCTTCAAAGCAGCGCTTAATTCCTGAAAACCCAGATTAACATGCAGTGTCAGAATCCCTCACAAACACTTACCTCTCTCTCGGTCATCTTTGCGTTCCTGATTGCTGTCAGAGTCAGGCTCTGGTTCTGGCACAACCAGAGCTTTCCTTTCTGTGAGTAGGTCTCCCAAGCCCTGTTCCAGATCGTAACGTTTAAGGATGATACGGATGTTTTCATCAAACTGGAGGATATACAATTGTTGGAAAAAAAAAAAAAAGACATAACTTTAGAAAGGAGAATACTAAGAACTAAAATGCCCAGGCAAACCTTAGTGAATAAACAAGTTGACCACCTGACTCCAGTACCGGTTAACAATCAACAGGGAGGCATCGTCGGTGGCCTGCCGTCGTTCCAGCTTTTCGATGTGTTCACGAAGTTCATCTTCAATGGCCTGCCGTTGGTCCAGCATTTCCGCTAGCTTGCGATTTTTGGTTTGCAATGTTCGAATGTCTAACTCCTCCTGCCCCCAGAAATCGGTATTATTAGTCTCCACAAAGAAACTTGACAAATTAGCTGCAAAACTGAACAAGGTCACATTAATTCTCCTATCAACAAAGCAGTTTATTTAAAAGGAAATCATACAACAAATAATTACATCAAAGGATAGCTAAGGGTGTAGCTCAAGTGATAGAGTGCTTGCTTGCACAAGCGTAAGACTTTGGGTAAATACCACCAAAAAGAAAAACATGTTTTCAAAAATAAAGAAATGGGTCATATTGATGTGAGGAAAGCATGACACATGAACATACTCAAGCTTCCCTAGTCACATGAATACATATGTGTAGACAAACCATCCAATCCTCTAGTATCTATCTATGCTTCTAGTATTTCAACACTAAATGACTATCCACTGATTCAGCCATGAATTCGTAAGCCACATTGTAGACCTTACTTGGAATTCAGCTCTCCATTAAGTTCCAATTTCACAGTCTAATAAATAAAATCTTTCCAGGTATTTCATTTCCCTCCATTATTGTGGCAGTCCTTTCACATTATATAGAGCTCTAGAATTTTGAATTCTCTCATTTTTCCCTCTTTTTTTCACTATCTTCCATAGTCTCATCATGTACTATATAGTACATTTCTTCAAACATGTTAGTCTCTTCAATTCTGTCCTTCCATTTTTCTGTCCTGAACAAACTTCAACTGAATTCATCCATACATTTGGCTGTTCCCTTCCTGTACCAGTATGCTAAGATTTCTTTTTTTTTTTTTTTGGAGGGGGGGTGGTGGTCTGGTCGTGGGGCCTGAACTCTGGGCCTGGGCACTGTCCCTCAGCTCTTCAGCTCAAAGCTAGCGCTCTACCACTTGAGCCACAGCGCCACTTCTGGCTTTATTCCTTTTGCTTATGTGATGCTGAGGAATCAAACCCAGGGCCTCAGCATGCAAGGCAAACGCTCTACCACTGAGCCACCTCCCAGCACCTATGCTAAGATTTCTATATCAAAAAGGTCATTAAGATGGCCATCAGGGGTGATCTGAAGATCACAGTTCAAAGCCAGCCCAGGTAGGAAAGTCTATCTTATCTCCAACTAATCATCAAAAAGCCAGAACTATGGCTCACATGGTAGAGCACTAGCCTTAGGCTGAAAAAGCTCAGGGACAGCACCCAGACCCTGAGTTCAAGTTCTTGAATTGAACAGATCTTATAATTTATCCAGAACTATTTAACAAATAAGCTCTCATTCTCTATCAAAGCAGTTTTAAGCTTTACCAAGCCTTGCCTTCTCTTACCTCACACTAAACAGATGGCCCTGCTTCCTACTTTAACAAACACAAATGATCAGCTGGGAGTCTTTTCAATTCCTCACCTCTCTCACCTTCTATACATGACACATGAACACATTCTTAAAACCTCAAATTCTGCTCAGAATCCTTTGTTTCTGAAAAACATCATTCCTCAGAAAGTCTCTCAGTATCCTTAACTCCTGACTATATCCTTTCCTAGGACAAGCTGGGGAGGACCTGGGGGATGAAATATTACAGGCAAGCAGACAACATGTGAAAAAGGCTACATTCTCACTTTATCTCAGAATGAGTGAATAAATATTTTAAACAATTGTTTACTAGAGCACCAATTTCTTATCTTACTTTTATTTTCTCTATTACAATTGGTCAAGTTACCCCATTAATAAGCTAATACAGTTTAATAAAATAATAAGTATACCTTGTCTCTTCTCTGGACATTGCCTGCCTCTCCTGCTCTACCTGGAACCCACATGGTAACACTTCCCCTGCAGGCTCCTCCAGTGGCAGCTGTTTCTCTCACATTGCCTTCAAAGTCCTCGTGGGTAGACAGTTTCTTTTGCCACTTCAAAGCCATTATCTCACCTGCTCCCTAAAAAACTCCTAGCCCTGCACAGGATATCTATCACTAGTCTTAAACCATCTGTCATCCTTTTTGCTGACTTATTTATGTCAGAAAAAAAAAAAGTCCAGTTTATTTCACTACATTGCTCCAAGATTTAGACTTAACTTACCATCACTTGCTAAGATACCTCTTTTAAAATTCATGATTACAATATCCACTTGAATGATTGTTCTCCATCTTAGATCAAATCACTGACCTCTCCATCAATGATTATTCTCCTATTTCTGTCATTAGCTAATAGTTATTCTCAGTGATTACTTTGCTCTTCCAACAAGCCCTCTAAAAGCTCATTCTCCACAATTACCACTATTTTTCCAGCTTATTCTCTACAGGTTCCTCCCTCCAACAATTCTTCAGCCTCTCCAAAATCTACAACTTACTGGTCTTGTACCTTTCCCTGTCTTTCATTCTGCTCACATCCTCAGGACACTTTTATCAAGCTTAAATTCTGTGAACAACCATTATAATCAAACCTTCTTATAAAAACTTCTTCCTTGCTTCTTCTTCATACTTCTCCAATCTTGTAACTAACATCCAACCCTATATATACTTCAAACCTACATCCATGCAACTGAATGTGACTAGAAAATACAAACACCATACTAACTAGTTTCCCTTTACACTCATGCTCACAAATTCAAGTGGGCCTTCACTGCAGGCCATCAACCCTACTACATATCTTTAGTCTAGCCTCTCTTCATGATAACTACTTCATACCTACTCCTGCCTCTTCAAACCTCCAAAGCTTCCTCCCCATCCTCATTCTCAGATGAGTCTTGTTTTTTATTTCACTAGAAAAAAAAAAATAGAAGCAATCAGAAGAAAACACTCATACCTTCCTCCCACAGCCACAGCTCCAAACCTACCTATACCAGAACCTACTCCTCTACCTTCCTTCCTGTCACCATGGATAAGCTGTTCCACTCCTGGTTAAGACCAACTCCACAGCCGGGCACCAGTGGCTCCCACCTGTAATCCTAGCTACTCAGGAGGCTGAGAGCTGAGGATCACGGTTCACAGCCAGCCCGGGCAGTAAAGTCCGTAAGACTCTTATCTACAATAAACCACTAGGAAACCAGAAGTGGTGCTGTGGCTCAAGCCATAGAGCGCTGGCCTTGAACTGAAGAGTGCAGGGACAGTGCTCAGGCCCAGAGTCCAAGCCCATGACCAAAAAAAAAGACCAACTCCACCACTGTACAGCCTTATGGTTTACCTTATTAGTTCCTCTCATCTACTCAAGGACATCGTCTTCTCTTTCTACTGTATCGTTGTATTTTCTCTATCAAATCATTTCAATCAACAGATAAAAATAATGGAATAGCTCAAAAAAAAATCTCTCTGGCTACTGCCTCATCTTCTTTGTTGTACTTAGCAGCAATAATCCTCTAACATGTTGTCTCTACCCTCTGTTCCTTAATTCCTCTCTTGTCATAGTCTCTTAAACTCACTGCAGTCAGGCTTCCAGCCATACTACTACATCAACATAGATCTGGTTGTTCTCCAAGAGACTAAATGTAGCATCAGTCTCCCCTTAACTCACCAGCAGCACCTAATCAAAACACAAAAATTCAAAGTTAAAATACTTTTTCATTAAGCTTCTGGAAGCCCTCTTTCTTATTCTCCTACCTCATGGGTCTCTGCCCATCCCTTCCTCTTAATTTGTTCCTTTAATTAGTCCCTTCTCATCTCCACGTCCCAGAACTCTGCCCTCAGAACTTTATCTATGTTTATTATTTAAGGGAGAGCCTTAGTCTCACCGATTTAAATATCACCTACAAAATGCTGTTCTCAAATGTACAGCTTTAGACCAGACAACTCTCCAGAATCCAGGTTATTATATACAACTACCATGCTAATTGGAATCTTGAAGTTTAAAAAACTAACTCAAGATTCAATCTCCACAGTGCACTTAAAAATCTACTCTTAATTTCTAGTTCAGTAAAAGAAAATGTCATTATTTCCAAAATCCTTTGGTGATCCTCTCTACTCATATGTTCTATCTAATCCATGAGCAAATCCTGTCATAGCTACCTCCACATTTTTTCAGGCCACTCTGACTACTGTGAAGGCCTCCTGAACCAAGTATTTTAGTGACAGGCCTGCCTGCCAAATTTCAGCACAGCTGTGGTGAACAGCACCAGTCTGTGTTCTCCTTCATACTTTGGAATCTCACTTAACCTGTTCCCAAGAATCAGCTGACTTATTATAGCAACTTCAAAATGCACAGTTGGAGTTACTGCCTTCAAGAGAACCTACAGCTGGCTGGAACTACTGGAAACGTTTGGAGAGATGATGCTGTGGAGGAGAGAAAGATAACAGAACAATTTTGCTAACTGGACTCAGTACAACCATTGCTTTTCTACAGTCTACTCTCCAAACATACATAGGTCAGAGCATGTTCCTCACCCACAAGACTTGTTGGATAAAGTCCAGGCTAAGATTGGTGCTGATCTTCCCTCACAGCACGTGTTTATCTTTCTCCACCAATGGCACAGTCTACTTCCTTGTCAGTGCCACCCTACTGACTGATGTCTATGAGGCGTCTTCAACATAAGGCACAGTACCCAGCAAGCAAAATGCTCAACAAGTACTACTCAACTGCTTTTGGGGTGAGCAACATGAGGCTAAAATGAAAGCAACTCCTGGTGACACCATGGAGTTCCACAAGCCCAGTCAGTTCAGCAAGGGTAGGGCCGCAACAACATGCCAGGAATGTCCTAAGAATGTCAGTCTCTCTGAACCTCAGCCTCAACATAATATAAATGAAAAATAGTTAACATCACATTCCCATGGCCAAGGTACAAAATATGGAGTCCTCATCTAGATAAACACCTATAAGCTTCTGACGTTTCAAATATATACATCACTTGTGTGTTTGGTATATACACTCTAATGGAACTGTTACTTCCATAAGAGCAAAGATGATGTCAGTTTTATTTACTTCTATGTTATCTAGCCTCTATTTATTAATAGCTAACTTTTATGAGTATAAGATGCCAAAGTCAGTGTTTTAACCCTTAGCAAGAACTACCATTTTTATCTTCACAATAACCCAGTGTGAAACTATATACAATGTACTTTAAATTCATTTTACAGACAAGGAAATACACAGAAAGGATAAGACAGTGACATAAAGCTAGGGAGTGAGAAAGCAGACAATAAACGTCAAGCAGTTTGGTCTCAGATTGACATTCTTCACAACACTTTCAAGCACCTCTGAGATATGTCTCTTAAAACCTGGCACCAATTTTTTCAGTGAATAAAAAATGAATACAGCAAACCCTGTTATCCATGAGTATATGGTTGCTAAACAATGAGCACTGAGGAAAAACCAAGAACTCTCAGGATGCACAGAGTTAAGAACAGTACTGTGGATACTTTATTCCACAGCATCAACCAAAGCCCACCAAAGACATGCCACTTTTCAGCAAATCTAAAGCTTTATCACTTAAATTAAGCACACTTCAGTTTTTCCTTTTGGGACACCATTGGCTTTGAGGGAGGCATATTTTCACAAAAATAAGGACAAGGAAACAGTTCATCACTAGAGTTAAACACAACCGACATTAACATGGAACAGACTGAGAGCTTCTCCCCAATCAACAGAGACACATAATGCCCATGTGGGAATTAGATTTTTTTTTTTAATTTTTGAAATTCCTTGTGATTATTTATTGACCACCCTAGGCCAAAACTGCATACAACCAACCTGCAAATGAGTCAGACTTGCTATAGTCGTAATTCCACTGCTAAGTAATAGCCAATGTGGTGTCAAGCACCAGAGATTCAAAATCACATGAACACAACATGAAAACAAAGATCAAACATCAATCTACCTCGCTTTCACAAGTGACTATGACACCTTTGAACTACTTCACCTATCTCCCACTTCTTTTCAAATGGCTTCCCCTTATTCTAGAAGGCTTCAATACGTTTACTTTCAGGTTATAAATGACAGCAGAAAAGTACACTTTCATAGCTCTGTTTTCCTCATACCGTTGAAGACACGCCCCCTAGTTTAATGGTTTCCACTGTGGTCCCTGAATCTTCAACAGCTGTCTTCTTCTCTGGAGGCACTGATGTGCCTGGCTCTCCAGCTGCTCGTTTATTTCCAATCCCTGACATCTTGATGACAGTGGTTTTCCTGGAGGCAAAGAATAAAATAAAAATAAAATCCATCACTAAGACATGCAAAGAGAGCAACAATAGATACAAAAGCTAGCAATTTTTCTGGCCAGCCCTTTCATCTGGATCCATTCATCCCAAACCAAGCAACACCATCCCCAAATTCCTCTTAAGAAAAAAAAAAAAAATCTAAATTGTGGATTCACATCAAAACTGAATTGTCAAAACCTAAACTGTGGGTTAAGATCAAAACCGAATTGTCACCCACTATAGATTTCTAAGTAAGGGGAGACAATAGTGAGAGCATAGACAATGAATAAATTTCAAGAACCTCACTTCCTGAAATGCACCCCCCCCAAAAAAATCAGAAAAGTACAGCTTGATTACGAGAGAAGTCCATTCTAAAGTGTGTGGAGGACTCGAGGGCTGGAAGAGATCTGAGAAATGCCTAAGTCGGTTATCAGCTCAGAGCCAATCAACGGATGGCATAATTACTAAAGGAACTTGGGGGGGGGGGGGGGGAGCCAAACATAAACTCGGCGCTCACAAGCACCAGCTTCTCGCCACTTTACAAATCCTCTCCCCATCACATCGCTTTCTGCAGCCCGAGGGGGCAGTTAGCCTCAGGGGGTGCCGGTTCCCGGAGGGGGGGTGGGGGTTCGCCCGGGGCCTTCTCAGCGTTTCCTCACCTGCACGGCACGGGGTAAAGGTGTTTTCCTCAGCCCTACCTGACTGACTGCCCGGGAGCTCAAGGAGGCGGAACGGAAGGATGCTAGAGCACTGCTGCTACAGGAGGAAGCTGCCCGGCCATCACCGAGAGACCACGGGCCACTCTGCGTCCACTGGCCGGCTCCGGGGGGTGGCAGTCGGGGACCGCGGTCTGGGTCGGATCCCGCCGGGAAAAGAGAGACACACGCCCCGGGCTGACGGGAGGAGCCGAAGACCCCGGCCGCGGCGTCTCCGGGGCCCGGATGGAGGCCCCGGGTCCGCAGAGGGTGGAGGCCGCCCGGGATACACCACAGCCTGTTCCTCACGTCAGTTGTTCTCGTGAGCCGGGGTCTAACCCGCGTTCTTCCCACTCGCGCCGCGGGGAGCCCAACTCTAGGCCGGTCTTTCACCTAAGGCCCGCCCGCGCAGGCCAGGCCTGCCATCCCTCACCTCTGACCCGCCGCAAAGAGGGACCTAGCTTCCGGGAGGCGGGGCGAAGGACAGGAAGAAGGGAAAAGAGGAAGGAAGTTGCTTCAACCCTACCGGGTGAACTGAGATCCAGCCGGGCGGAAGTGACGTGAGGTGAGGGCGCCGAGCGAGCCAAGGATGTGCCCAGTCTCCGGCCACACTGGGGCGCGCGAGTGGCGGCGGGTGGTGAGCGAGCATCTCTTTGCTAAGACCACCAAGAGTAACCGGGTCTCGCTGCGGCCGGCCTGCGAGCTCTTGCCTTGACAAGTTAAAAAGAAAACACAGCAGCCTGACTTGGATTAGTGCGAGTATTGACATCAAGCGTTCCGTTGGGCTACCTGCTCTGGGCTTCCCCGAAGCTCGTTTAGACTGCCGATTGGCGGGAGGGCCTGTCCATCTCGGGCCCCAAGCCTGTCGCGGAGACTGACACCTGGAGGAAATGCCAGCCCCCTTCTTGCTGGAGAGTCTGGAGAAAACCTGGGGGGTTTCATGGGTTTAGGAGTTGGGGGTTGCTTTTTAAGGGAACTGTGTTTAGTGCTGCCTCCACGTTACACCCATCTGGGGAGTGATAGTCCCTCTAGGGCGGGGCCTGGACAAAAAGGCTTTCGAAACAGCCCTTATCCCAGCACAGAAATAGGGACACAAAGGGTGAACTAACAGAGCAGTGATACTCACTGGACATTACTTTGGAAATGAACTATCCAACTTGGGAGGAGGAGGGGGCGTCGGGAGGAGGAAAAAAATGGGAGAAAATGAAGGAGGGGGTGACACTGTTCAAATGAATGTACTCATTAACTGACTAACGTAGCTGTCACCCCTCCGTACATCACCTTTACAATTTAAAAACAAGTGAAAAATAGAAAAGCCTTTATCCCATCTTATTTTCACCCTTTAGATTGCAGCCTGCAAACAAGATTGACAGCTACATCTCCGGTGCTTTAGAAGTAGACAAGAAATTGACCAAGAAAAGATAAATCGTGCAAGTCAATGAGTAGTGAGTCTATACACAATATTATCTCTATATTAAGCTAATTAAGCATGAACTTTAAAAAACAAGGTAGTAATAAACTGCCATTTCCCAGTCAGTTAAACTAAATGTCTGGATTTTAATGATAGGAAGGTCATTGAACTAACTTGTGAGTAAAAGAATGTATGCCGCCCCAAATGGTGGACAACTAACTAATGTCATCAGATAAGAGCTCAGAAATAAAGGGATGATGGGCTGTGCCTAAGGAAAGAAAAAGAAGGTATATTTGATAGGTACCTGCTAGTTCTTAGCTGTGTGTGCAAAAGATGAACAACAGAAGATATAAGTTCTTTGGTAATGCATGGAACCAGAACACTTTACCTAGTCCAGGTAAAAATTAATTGGCTCTTAAATGAATTCCTTCCATTTGGTGAAGCACAAGACTGAGAACTATTTGATGTCCACTTGTTGAAAAATCTATCGTTCGTATAGGACAATAACATTCATTTTCTGATCTCCATCCTTGAGTTGCTTTACCCTTGGCAAGCCCTGTACCCACTGGATGGCAAGCAGAGTCATTCTTCCAGCCTCATGTTTGTAAACTAGATGTTCACTGGTTGTATTTTGCCAGCAGACCTTCTGTGTTTAACTTTGGACAGTACTGGACAGTCCATATGGTTAAAAACAGTAACTTGATCACTAGCATTTAAAATAAGGATATTTTAAATTAAAAATCCAAGCTAATTAACTTTTCTCAAAAATGTTGACAATCTAGCATGATTGAAGCTGTGTGCTTGCATGGTCATATTACTTAGACAACAGTAGCCACTTCCTTTTTCATCCATTGATCATCTTATTTCCAGGTACCATGATCTCCACTATTCCTTACCTGTCCAGTGGGCAGTTTGGTTACATACCACCCATACTTCCTTTCTTACCTTTTTTCTTTAGAATAGATTAAAATTTTTACTAATGTGTCCATGAAGCCCCTTTGGTTATTTATTAGGAAGCTCCAAGGATTGCCTCAATATAAATAGGTTTATCCCCCAAATCAAAGTTCTAATTATAGTGTTGTTCACTTTGATTGGAGTAAATCTCTTGGTATATTAGGTCAGGGCAGTTTTCTTCCAGAGTTTTTGCCTGAAACTGGCACGTGTTTGCTACCATTGTTTAAAATGGAGCCAAGACACAGGTCAGGTGGCAGGAGAGAGGACAGGCTGGGCCTGCTCTGGGTTACTCCAGGATGGGTAGAACAGAAGCTCTGTTCTGTTTTTAGATTAAAAACAAAAACATTGATTTGGTTGTACCTAGCTTTGACTCATTCCTTTTATAAAGCAGTATTTTTAAACCTAAGCTACTCCATCTTGAGAATAAATCTTGAAACATAATGGTTTTACATTTTATTTGTACAAGTGAACAACTGCCATCTTTCAGTACACATGAGGCCCAAACTGATACATAATGTTCCAATAAACAATGATGCTGACAAATATATCAAAATATATCAGAAACATCAGGCATGAACTTACCAGATACACTAGGCCAGTCACTTAGTCAAATGCCTCACCTGAACTATAGAAAAGGAGAGATACCTGGCACTGGGACACAGCAGCACACACAGATCTGATCTGTCATCAGACCTCCAGTGTATCTAAGTCAAGCATCAACAAGTGACAAACTTGTCACTACCCTGCCCCTTTGTGAATTAATTCTGACACTGAGGAACATAATAATTTTCATTTATGTTTCTGATATAGCTCTCTCATAACAGTGGGCAAAACCAAGAGGGTTCAGGGAAATGGAGGCAGATCAACTGAGTTAGGTCACCCCTAATTTCAATCCACAATTCAGGGTGCTATTGAAGATACTAAACAAGACCAAGACTTTCTAGAAACCGTTAATTCTAACCATGTAGTAACTGTAATTTCCATCTACCAGTGCGGTTATCTTTTTCAAAAGTCCCAAGCAGTCATCTCAGGCCTTCTTCTGTGTGTCAGTGTTCTCTAGAGAACAAAACCAATACGGTATGTGTGTTGATGTGTATGTGTGTGTATACATATCTGTGTTTATGTGTGGGTGTATTTATTTCTATATGCATGGAATTGATTGTGGTGATTTGATAAATTTACAATTTTCAGATAGGGTAGCACACCCAGGGATGAGTTGCAGTTGTCACTCAAAGGAGGTCTGCTGGAGGAATTCCTTCTTGCTCAGGGAGAAAGGGGTGTCAGACATTGTTCTATTAATAACTTCAATGGATTGGATGAGTCCTTGCCACAATGTGCTTTACATCACCAATTTAAATGTTACTTTCAATCCAAAGCATACTTCACAGAAACATGCTCCAGCCATTGACACATAAAATTAACTGTAAGGGTAGATAATTACTTTCTCCAGTGAATTGTGATATCTTTTCTGAAAGCCTCAGCCGTCTGACCTCACAGTAACTGGTCCTGATCCAAAGGTAGCTTTACCTTACAGAACTGGGCAAGTGGAATAGATGAAAGGAAAGGTAGCAGAGAATCCTCCCACTGACCACATTCCTCATTTCTGAGCACCTTCCACCTACTTATCACCTCAGTAAAGAGAAAAAGAACCTTAGGATAAATCTTCCACTCACACAAATGGAAGAACAATGCTGTTCATATTTGATTTCCCTTTTCTTTTAAAGCTTGTCATTGCTTATTCCAACCTTATCATTTCAGCCAAATAGCAATAACCTCCTCTTTGAGGAGAAAGTAGGTTGCAATTTCAAGTAATTTTTCTGAGGTACTTAATATTTGTTTAAGGACTTCCAGACTGTCTTTATTACACAGTTCTGCCACCAGGTGTCAGCAGGTGATACACCTCCTTCCACAGTGCCTCCTTTATTCATGAGCCATGCCGTGTGACTTTGTAACCTGAACTATTACGAGTGCATTTAATGCTGTCACAAAGAACACAGTAAGATTTGGGAAATCTTACTCACCTTTTTTTTTCTGTTTCCTGCAAAAATTCTCCTGTTGGTTATCTCCATGGGCTCCAACATTCCCTGAGAGTTAATTGTATACTAAACATAATTCTGGAAGCTCTATTTTTAGACAAGTTCTGTTGTTCCTATCATAACATCACTTGTTAAACGGAAACACACAGATTCCATTCGTCCTTGTTTTAGACACCAAATCTCCAGAGTAAATCTCTCAGGAAATACAAATTTTTCCTATTACATTATGCTTCCTATGTGCATAGATTTAAGGAACACTGCTCCAGATGATGGTGTCCAGCTCCACTTAGGAGTACTCTACAAGCTGGGTGCTGGTGGCTCATGCTTGTAATGCTAGCTATTCAGGAGGCTGACATCTGAGCATCCTGGTTCAAAGCCAGCCCGTGCACGAAAGTCTGTGAGATTCTTATCTCCAATAAGCCACTCAGAAAACTAGAAACGGTGCTGTGGCTCAAGTGATAGACATCTAGCCTTGAGCTGAAGAGCTGAGGGATAGTGCCCAGGCCCAGAATTCAAGCCCCATGACCGACAAAAAAAGAAAAAGATTGCTCTACAGAAACCGGCCTCCCACTCTTGTTCTGTGCTTTCCATACCTTAGAGCCACTCACCACACCTTTCTCCATCTCCCCAGATAACCTGGCCCACCATGCTACCCTATGCTCCACCCTCCTTTTCTATGACAGCAGCTTTTAGAATATTTCTAGCCTTGACTCCATTTTATAAAGCAATAGTTTTAACCTATGCCATTAATTCCACAAGAATGCCTTTACATTTTATGTATGCAAGTGAATAACTACCATCGGTCAGCAAACCATGAGGCAAAAATTGATAACACTTTATTTGTGCCAATAGGCAATTACATCAAAACAAATCAATTTGATATATAAAATCACATCAGAAACACCAGGCATGAACTTATTGAGGACTCATGATTAATGCAAACTCCCTCCTCTGAATTATATAAAAGGAGGGACTCCCAGCCCTGAGGTATAGTGGCACATACAGACCAGTCATTAGACCCTCTGTTGCATTATGCATCAACAATCAAAAGGTGA